GGTTTCGGTAATATACAAGACCCAAAAATAATACTTGTAAGTAAACCTAAACAATAAATGAGTAATTTTGTTTATAACTAAGATTTCATGTTTATATATGTACATAAAAACATTTTGATTTTCTTTCATAAATATATTTTTATTTCAAGTTTATTTTTATGTTTCATTGCAGTCGTACTTTTGTTAATTGTGCCGCATAAACCGTTGGGTCAGCAGCGTGACCTTTGTACATTGCCCGTAACTATCTCACCCCTGTTGGGGGTCACTCTCATTCAGCCCAGCGCGGACGGACGCATTTGAACATTACTGTCGATATGATAACAAGAAAGTTTTTCGGTACTTGAATATCATTTATTTGAACTTTCAAACAAGTTTATTTCAACACATGTCCATATATGTTGTTTCACTATACCGAGAAACCTAATTGCCACTACTAGTGAGTTGTAATAGCTTACAGTACAGGTGGTTTCATTAACACCGCCTAATCCTTGATACATCCTGTTAGAAGAGATTACCAAACGATACAGACACCATAAATTACAAAGAAAGTCAATTCATAGCACTTAAAATATTAGTCTGGTCACATACCTCTCATTATAGGCAATATTTATGTTGGAATTTGAAACTTAAGCCCTTCAATGTATTAGCACCCCAACTGTGAGAATGTCATAGCTTTCCTGGTATTATTGCCACGAATGTGTTTAGTCTGTCTCACTACTAACATATGGGCTTTATTGTTGTCACTTGTACACCGAGTTTTAACTCGTATATAAAAGAACCGTACAAGAATAACAATTTACGTTTTTATTTTTGCATCTAAATATGATTTGCATACAACTGTACGTGTACTTCTCAGTGCATAACTTTTGTATATATGTTATCTTGACTTGTAACTTATGTATAAAATTTATGTAATTTAACCCCTTTGCAAAATATCAGAATAAAATATTTATATATCAGTTAGTATGTTTTAATTAAAACAACAACAGAAGTGTGGGTCTTACTAAGTAATGATAGTAAGAAAGAAATTACAAAATTCTTACGATAAGCCTAAAGCTATCAAAGTGGCACTACTAGTATGTACAAATGACACAAAGTTTTCCTTATAAATACTAAATCATATTTTTATTATGAACAAAATTATTGTTATGCTACTATTTACAAAAATAAAATCTGAAATCCAATAAAAGATGAGTTCTCTATCATTTTTTCAATTCACAAATGATTTTGCTCTCACAATAAGACAAAATGGCCCTGGCAAGTATCGGGTTAAGGAGCATTGCATATTCATTCTGGTGTTTTGTTTTTATCACTATTCCCCCTTTCATTAAGCATCTGACATTTGTAAATAACAATGCCTTAACTCGGCAACTATATGGGGTTGACAGTGGTAAGTCTGAAGGCTTAGTTATATATCTGAAACTGGGTTTCAATATTCATGGTGGGCACAGCACTAATAGCCCATTGTGTAGCTTTGTGCTTAACTACAAGTAACAAATCATAAAAAAAATATTACCCTGCACATAATTATTTAATATTTTAGTACACTAATCATATCTATGACAATATAACTAATACCAGTAAGTTAGCAGGCCAAATATAAGCTTAACAATAAGTAGGCCAGTTTTCATTTTAATAAAACACATTCTTAATATTTAATTAGTATTCTATTTTTTTCATTATGATTATTGTGCCAAATTATGTGTATCAAACAAAACCCACTTACCTGTTTTTTGACAAACACTATAACAATACCTGCATAAAAAAAATATATTAAAGTATGCCTCATTTCTAAATTGTGCCTGGGGCTAGAAATTACAGATTAATATCAGATTAGTTTACCAAATCCAGAATCTTATCCACAGAATGTGATTTGATGAATAATGGTTAATGCTCTGTAAAAGTTTAATTGCAAAATTTATCACCTCTAGTTAAATGCCTGAACTTTTCTCTCACCTGTTTTTTCCATTCATTGTCAGCTTACTTATTCAAGTAGTCAGGAAGGTCTTTGATTTTATGTCATTTGTTAAATTGTATTATCTAGATTACAGACAGTAGTTTTCAGTAATAAACTATATCATCTTCCTACTTCATGCTTTATTATTTTTTTGGCAAAAGGATCTGCTGTTTTCAAGATAGACTAGTAAGTTGTGAATGTAATTCCAATATATTAAGTGAAAATTTTCCAATGAGAATTAGTGTTCATTGCTCAAACCTTTATTAAACAGAGGCTTGGAGTTTACCTGTAGCTTTATGAAGTCAGTTAGTATTGCTTATTTATTCACAATAATGACATCATGTTACTGAGTCTTACACTTAAAGATAAATTATTTAATGTTTATAAATCTCTGGACTATTAAGAAATTTTAAATACAACTATCCAATGAGATTATTAGTATTTGAATTTTTTTTTTTCAGAAACTAAACTTCTTTCAATACATGTAATTGTTCTTAAAGCCCAACTCAGAATTGTGTGTGTATTAATTGTTTATACAGTTGGACTGAAATTTGTAGAAATTTGTTCAATCAAAAAAGATTATCAGTAAAAAATTACCAAATACATAACTTTTTAGCTAGATGGCAAAATATGGACAGTAAGCTTCTGTTTGATTAAACTGTGAGAGAGTTTTGGTAGCAAAAATGTGACATTTTTTTAGGGTTTTTTATTATATTTTTTAAAGATAACATTCTAAAAACGAGACTTAGATTTGTATCAGTCAAAAAAGAATGGTAGCAAAAACATTTGGAAACATTATAGGGAATTGTCAAAGGCCTGAAGAATTAACAGGTAGATAGAAAAGCTTAAATACTACCTTAAGACATGTAAAAGAAAAATAACTTTGTAATACAGGGTGTTATTTTTAGAATACCTGGAATTTCTAACACCAGGATATGTGTTAAAAAATTCCAGTAGTATAAGTTTATTAGTTGATGTGATATTTCTGTTTTGTTCAAGACATATTGCAAAACATTAGTAGCTAAAGCTTTTCTTAAGTAAGGAATCTAAAGTTTAATGCTGAAAACATGTATTTAAGGAAAAGCTTTCATTTCATTTGCTTTTTTAGACTAAATATTGTTGCACAGAAGCATTACTTAAGTATTTTCAGCTTATCTATCTCATTAAACTTAATTACTGCTTATTTTTTTCAAGTTTTTATCATTCTTCAGGGTTAACTATATAAATTGTTCATCATAAAATTACATTGCAGATGATATGTTTGTTTTAATGTCACGAAATATCATCCATGCTTTTGACATACATTTTTTTATCTATCTTTTTATGGCTATCATTTACTAACTGAGGAGAAAATATTAAGCTTTATTCAGTTAGTAAATAAGGCTGTGGTTAAGAACCACTGTAGTTCTATAGTGTTTAGTATGGAAATGTAAAAGGAATGTAATATTGTGTTGAGTGATGTAATAACTGAAATTGGAATAAAATTTTTTTTTCAGATACACAAAGACAAACTATTAATGGAGAGAATTCTTTTGATTCAGCCACAAATGAAGAAGTCTTTAACAGAAATAAAGTCCAAAATACTGAACCAGGGCAAAACTCTTCAGATCTAATGATAGAGAGTGCAGAACAGTTTATTATCAGCCATTCATGTTCAGTATTAGAAACGGATACTAAGCCTCTAACATCGAGTATCAGGGAAGATGCTGCTGATCAGGATTCAGGCCACATTCAGTCTCAGTCCTCTAGTCAAGATGTACATCATCCAAGATATCTTATTAAGGGGAGAACAAAGGGTATTGGTGGAACACAGTCAATTACCCCCAGTGTTTCTCTTATAAACCCAACAAAGCAAAAAATGTATTTAGATGGTGAGTAGAAATCTTTGGAAGTTACTTGTTTGAACCTTAAGTGCAGAAACCAATATACTGCTTATTTTTGTATGCATGCACATGTCAGATTGTGATATTACACCTTATATATATATATATATATATATATCAGGATTTTTTAAATTTCTTGGTGTGTGTTGAACATTAATGAAATGAATACTGTTCATCATAGTATTCATTAATGTTCAAACATGCTAAAAACACCTTTTAAGAAGCATATACATGTATTCAAGAATGGAAATAAGAATTTTCTTTTATCCATTAAAAGGTGTTTATAAGTTGCTCGTCAACTACAATAATTGGCAGCAAAAAGAGTGTTCCTTCTTCAACTTCCTTGTACTTTTGTTATCTGATGATGCCAGGTTAATACTGACAAAATATTGTGTTATTTCAACTTTGATTTTACTGCCTAGTAAATTTTCATTTATTTCATAGCTTGTACTAGGTCTACATTTCAAGCTTTAAAGTCAAAAATTGTTTTAATTTTTTTTCCAATGCCAAACTACTTCAAAACCATACTTTGAACGGAAAATGAGGTATTGTTTCACATTTATCATTAAAACAATAACAGTGAAGAAGGCATAGCCAAAAATCACATGAATTCAAGCTTGCCATGATCTCATGGTTATCTACCAAGAATTATTGTTGCTTAGTAATTATAATTATAATATAGTGATAAGATTTTATACTTAAAAATAAATGCTTTTATTCTAACACAGATGCATGACTTAGCTTGGGTGGTAGCTATATATATATATATATATGTAGCATGTATTAAGTGTAAGGATCTATTATGACTATGACATATACATGTATCATGTGTTTGATATTCTTGTATTGTGAGCAAATATTCGTACATATTGTTAATTTTTCAGTGTTGGAAATTAAAATGAAATATTATGCATACTTATAAAAGTTTACAATAACATACTTCACTGAAAAGTGTGAAGGTAAGGGATTTTGATAAGTTACATACTGACATTAACAGTCAAGCTGTTCAAATCTATTGGAGATCATGAGCTATAGTACAAGTGATGATGATTTTAAAATTTCATTAAATAGACAGGAATGCCAGTTATTCCTATTTTGTTTATACAGTGTTTTGAGATGTCTATTATTCACACAGTGATCCAATGTTTGTATATAGGAATTTTAAGAACATGCAGCATTGATGCTTCTATTTTATTCTTGTGAATTATTCAGCCAATAAACTGTTTAAAATACTAAACATAAATGTAAAGCCCAATCTATCATTCAATTTACAAATCATATCTTGATACAGAAACCTTGCCAAGCATGAATGTTGCAGAAATTCAAATCTGAATATGTTGCTGTCTGGCTGTGTGATTTACTCTGTAGTTTTCAGCATTCTTGTTTTTCTGCTCAGATTCAGATTTTTTTTAGCCTTGAATTCCTATTTTAGGTTAGGTTAAGTTGATATCTTTGTATAAGCCTGTGAATTTCTAATAACCTAGAAAAGACACAACCTATTGACATCTTTGTATAGGCCTGTGAACTTCTAATAACATAGACAAAAACCTATCTATAATGTTTCAAAAGCTACTTTATATTGTAAGTTTTAGTGCATTTATGATATTGCTTTTATTGTACTTAACCCTATTGCCACTGGTATCCTTTACTGCACATGACACAAGGTTTTAATGTCTTACATTCAAAATTTTATTAAACTTCTTTTTTGTTTATGTTATACAAATTAGTATAACATAAAATCTTAGCTAATAATCCATATTTTAATAGTACATAACTTTTAATTCTACAAGGCAATATTAAAAAACATCCTGAATTTCCCCTAGTGTAACACATTTTCTCTAGGCATTTTCTTTTCTCTAGTTTATCTACCACTTCTCCAAAATGTATGAAATTCAATGTAAATTACTCACTATAAAATTGTCATTGTTTAGACAAACCATAATTTTTATTGCCTTCAGTTTTGTGTGGACTGGTATGTGGACCTTCACCTTCCCCAATACTTTTATCTCACATTATTTGCATGATCTGGCAGTCTCTTCATCTGAGGGTTTTTGCCTACCCCTGTAGTTATCTTAACCATTTCTGCTAGATTATACAGAGGGGTGAGTATTTTCATTGCTACCTTTCAGGGTCCCTTACCTTATTTTCACAGGATTCCACTATGTGGCGAGTGTTGCCTAGGCAGGTGTGTTTTTATCAAACCAATTTTGCTCTAGCAAGCTACTTCAATATACTTTATACAGGTTGCAATAGAAGTGAGGTGTTCCATAAGACCATCTAGGAGCTTACCAGATGGTATTGCCATATTACTCTAGATTGCCACTCATGGATTATACTGAGTAATGCATAAGGGGATCTTGCCTGTACCTGCCGATCATTGGATTGAATAAATCAGGGTCGATTTGCTTTTAAAAATTTAGGGAATTTGGTTCACCTATTGCACTGTTTACAGAGCACTGTTCCTCAGGACTTCCCAATGCCTAGTGGAGCTAGGGAATCCTTACCACACCCAGTTTCCAATCACTGGGTTAGTTGACAGAGGATTTTCCTCCAGAGTGTTAAAGTGAATTCCTTCACTTTTGGAGAAGAGGGTGAAGTTGGGGCCCTCCTACCTAGATCCCTGGATGTTTTTCCTAGATGTTGGTAGGAGTGGCACCAGCCTACATTGGAGCCTACTCATAATACTGGTTCAGATTTGATTCCTCACTGCCCGGTTCAGGTGTGTATGACTGGTCTGTTTGATCAATATAGATTCAGCACATTGTTCATAGAAGAAGGTCCGCTATTTCCTTGTAATTCCAAATGCATTGTGGTCCCATCCTGGGTCCTTGGTTGAACACAGTAGTTCCACGTCCTCCCCATAATTCAGGGGTAAGTGAAATGTACTTTGCCCACATGGGTGTGGAATGAGGATGAATTTTCATAATTCCAGACTGAGTAAGTTCTGTTTCTTTTGGTTGAGTAAAGCTTACATGATCTTGTCATTCCAAGCCTGGGATGTTGCCTTTCTGGTTTCTTCAGGTAGAGGAGAAGGTTGTTCACTTTGGTGTTGCTTACTTTCTTGTCCTTATTCCAGTGGCTTGGAATGCATCATTCTGTGGCTACAGATTGGGATCCACTCATAAGTGTATATGAATAACATTTTGGTCCAATTTCCCTAGCCACCAACATGGGATATAGGGACCAAGACCCGTTAATTTCAACCCTGAATAGTGGAACCTCAGCTATCTGGTTGGGGCTGGCCTATAGTGATTATCACTCATGTACAGTTCCACCCATGATACAAGAATTATGTTCAGAGTGAAGAGCATGCCTGTTCTTGAGATAGTGCAGTTCCCCCACTAGGGTGTCAGTCTTCTATTGACACATTCATGATCGATGCAGATGCTTTCTGTATGGATGATGCCCTCAGTGGATCCTCCACCATCTCAGTGTGGGATTCTAGCCATAGGTGGGATCAGAGGTATGTATGTTTTGGAAGTTAACATTTTCCTAAATTGAAAATGTATTTTCAATAATACTTGCCTCTGCAGACACTCAAAAAAGTGATAACATTATCTAAATGTGGTGCTTATATACAGTACCAGGATAGAGGGTGCATTAACATAGGTGGAGAGTATCATGAGATAAATATCGTCAAGGGCAATTGAGTGGGGTATAAAAGACTGGAGCAAGCTAGAAAAATCAGACCAATACTTAGATTGGCAAAGGAAGAAACCCTGATGGTCGAATAATAGCTAAAAGTGTGAGAGAAGGTTAGTATTATTCGGAAATACATTTTCAGTTTAGGAAAATGTTAACTTCTACAGGAAATGGTGAAGTCTTTAGACTAAGTTGTTGCTCTGAACAGAAATGAGATTTTTTAAACTCTTATGGCTTAGTTAGAAAGCCAGATTAATTACAGTGATTTTATGTTTACTGCTATAGTAATTTGATAATTCATTGGTTTTTAAAATGCATCTTTGAAATCTATAAAAATTAATTTGTCTTACCCTTCCACTTGAGTGAATAAATGAGGCTTGGCAAGGACAACTCATGAGTACAAATCAATTTGGTAACATCAGAAGTACTATAAATCTTTGTTTTTCTATAAATGTTTTATCTGCTGTTTTATATTTGAAGAAAAGTAAAAATTGAGCACTGATGAGTAAATAGTAAAAATAAATATACATGTTCATAAGCATTTACGCACCTTGTACACCTATATTACTGAATTCTGACCACCTAACTGGAAAATAACTAACATCCAAATACCTACCAAGTTTATTGGATCAGCCAAAACCTTGTACAGAGCCATATCTTAAATATTTTCTTGCACTTTTATTACTTTAGACCAGGGGTCTCCAAACTATGGCTCGTGACTTCAGTATATCCAGCTCGCCAATAGTTTATTAATGTAATAATATAAGTTTTTAATGTTATAAAAACAAAAAAATAAAACATAATTGATCAAAAGCTAATCTAGTTGCGATACGGTCCACCAACAGTTCATTAAAGTAATAAAATGATATAATGATTTCATTTTCTTTTTTAAGGATATAAAAATAAAAAATGAAACGTAATCGAGCAAAAGCCAATCTGATCACGTATGCATCCCTACTTAATTTAACCACGACCCTTCCAACCCGTAAAGCCTAAAAAGATCTACTTCCTGGCCCTTGTCCAAAAAGGTTTGAAGACCCTTGATTTAGGTAATTATTTTTGCAACCACTGTTCTGTAAACAAGTAGTTAAATCCTCTACCTTGGTGTTCTCAGAGCTGAGACTACAATAAACTCAGTGAAAAAAAGTTCTGGTAATTGCACTGCATGAGCTTATATGCTATTGACAGTGTCATATTACGGTGTCTGGTAGACAGTCTAATGATAGGAGCAGTGGTTCATTGCCTTATATTTAGCAGGTTTCTACTGCAGCCACTAAGAGTAAAATAAACGTAGGAAATAGATGTGAAATGTTTAGAAATAGAAACACTCAGAAGAAGTGCTTTGG